GTCTCCTTTCATAAGACAGGTTTTCCATTCCTCGGATCATCCTAGTGGCCCTTCTCTGTACCTGTTCTATTTAAATCCCGGGCTTCATTTGCAACTCCGGTCGCCCTCATTACCCTACCTAGCTCGAATTAACGAGCTAGTGTAGACATACCCTTAGAAAGGTAGTCAAGTAAGCAGCAGAAGCTGAAAAATGGCTGTCCAGGGGAGTGCATTTAAGCAAGCATCTCAGATAGCCTTAGGCAACAGCACCCGGAAGAAACTGCTGACCTAACGCCTTGGTTGAAGTGGTTCCAGGTGAAAGCTCTCTTTTGAAAGATTTTTCAGAACATCTCTTCCAAAAAAGCTTCTTTTGAAAGAAGCCTGCAGTCTAGACCTACCCTCTGGGGCATCTGGCATTCGCCATAGTTGGAAGACAGTATACTGAGGTAGATGGACCTTTGGTTTCATCCAGTTTGGTTGCTCTTATGCTGTTATGATCACTGAGGGCAGCCACAGCTCCAAGAGCATGACCAGCTATGGGGTGAGCAGGGAGAAAGCCCTTCTGCAGGGGCAAGGGAAAGGCCTCTCCTGGCTGGTGAGGTCTGGAGGAAAAGTTTCCTTCTGGCTAGGCGAGTCTGAGGGGAGAGAGAAGGCTACTGCGAGCCAGGTACTGCAGGGGGTAAAGAAGGCCTCTGCTGGTCAGTGGGGCAGTGATGAGAAAGAAGTTGCCTGCTAGCTAGAGGGATGGGGGAAGAGAGAAGACCCTGACAGCTGGGGGTGAGAGAGAAAGCACTGCCAGAAGAGACTTCCCACTCTGAGTCCCTCCTCACCTCCCAATCCACTTTCCCTCAAATACCCAGCCTTTGCCCTCAGTCACTCTTTAAGTCCCCACTCTGGCTCCCACACCACCCACACTCACTGAATCCTTCCTTGCCCCCTACAAGCCTCCAAAATTCTGCCCTGACTCCTGCTCCCCCCAGAGCCAAGCAGCTCCCCTGAAGGACCAAGGGGGATGGGATCCACCTAACCAAAAGAGGAAGAGGCATCTTCACAGGCAGGCTTGAAAACCTAGTGAGGAGAGCTTTAAACTAGGTTTGATGGGGGGCGGTGACCAAAAACCCAAGTGGAATGGGAAAATCAGATATCAGGAAGAAATGCAAAGAAGAGAGAGCAAAAAAGGAGGACCCCTGATGCAAATGGAGAAGATAGAGCGAACAACTGGTTATCTAAGGTGTTTGTACACTAATGCAAGAAGCCTGGGTAACAAACAGGAAGAATTAGAGGCCCTGGCCCAGTCCAAGAACTATGATTTGACAGGCTGGTGGGAAGAACAGGCAGGGGAGAAAAGGAGGAGGAGTTGCACTATATGTAAGGATATATCTACACTACAGCACTAATTCGAACTAACTTAATTAGTTAATTCGAACTAAGCTAATTCAAATTAGTGCATCTAGACTTAAAAAATGATTCGAACTAGCATGTCTACATTGAGTGGACCCTGAACCGAAGTTAAGGCTGGCCGGAAGCAGTGCCGGCAGGGCAACAGGTTAAGACTTAGAGTATGGAGCTGCTGCCTCAGGCTAGCTGAGCGCTGTGCTTAAAGGGACCCAACCCCTACCCTGGACAGACAGTTCTCAGGGTTCTCCACTTGCTTGTCTACTTCAATGAGGGACAGCAAAACAGTCCTGGCTTGAAGTGCCCTGAGTGCCCACACTTGGCACATCACAGCACTCGGCCATCAGCCCGGGTACACTTGCCGCCGGCTGCCATCCGGGAGGGTCAATCAGGGGGCTGTCAGAATCCAGGAGGCCCTGCAGGAGAGCTTCCACCCCAAGGAGCCCGCAGAGCCACCCCAGTTCTCCCCATCGGGGTCTTGTGCCCCATTCCTCCCTCACCTCCTTCCATTTACTCCTCCCTAGCCCCCCTTCCTGATGTAAAAAATAAAGGACACGTGTGTTCAAAAATAGAAACTCTCTTTATTTAACAAAATTTGGAGGGGGGGGATTAACCTCTGGGGAGACTGGGAAAAGGAGGTGGGAGAGGGGAAGAGAGAGGGTGGGAGAGGGGAAGAGAGAGGGTGGGAGAGGGGAGGGGGAAACCTGGGCGGAGGGAGCTGGAAGGGGGAAGCCAGGGGAGGAAGGAGGAGGGGAAGTATAAAACTATGGTACGCCATATCTTCAGTACTGTGTACAGATGTGATCTCATCACCTCAAAAAAGAAGTTTTAGCCTTGGAAAGGGTTCAGAAAAGGGCAACTAAAATGATTAGGGGTTTAGAACAGTTCCCATATGAAGAGAGGCTAAAGAGACTGGGACTTTTCAGCTTAGAAAAGAGGAGACTGAGGGGGGATATGATAGAGGTATATAAAATCATGAGTGGTGTGGAGAGGGTGCATAAAGAAAAGTTCTTCATTAGTTCCCATAATATAAGGACTAGAGGACACCAAATGAAATGAATGGGTAGCAGGCTCCAAACTAATAAAGAAAGTTCTTCTTCACAAAGCAAATAGCCAAGCTGTGGAACTCCTTGCCACAGGAGGCTGTGAAGGCTAGAACTATAACAGAGTTTAAAGAGAAGTTAGATAAAGTCATGGAGGTTGGGTCCATGGAGTGCTATTAGCCAGGAGTTAGGAATGGTGTCCCTGGCCTCTGTTTGTGGAAGGCTGGAGATGGATGGCACGAGACAAATGGCTTGGTCATTGTCTTCGGTCCATCCCCTCTGGGGTACCTGGTGCTGGCCGCTGTCGGCAGACAGGCTACTGGGCTAGATAGACCTTTGGTCTGACCCAGTACGGCCATTCTTATGTTCTTATGCTCTAAGCTCAGAGTTCTGGTCGGGGGTCTCACTGGACCACCTTGATTTTCATGCAAACCTGCTCCTGGGTTTGCATGTGGCCTTTGGTGGTCAGGCTGGCAGTATCCTGCCCTTCATGGCCACTTTCCTGTGTCTAGTGCGGAGGTCGTGGACGTTGGAGGCCTCCCCCCAAACCTCGATGAAGTCCACGATCTCCGCACTAGACTAAGGCGGGCGCCCACCTCTTGCAGCCCTGGGCAGGCTTTAATTCGAACTACTTAATTCGAACTAGGCGTTAGTCCTCGTAGAATGAGGTTTCCCTAGTTCGAATTAAGCGCTCCACTAGTTCGAATTAAGTTCGAATTAGCAGTTTGTATTTGTAGTGCCTATGAAAGTTAATTCAAACTAACGGCTGTTAGTTCGAATTAACTTTGTAGTGTAGACATACCCCTACTGACAGATGATGTGGGGAAAGCTGAAGTACTTTCTTTGCCTCTGTCTTCACAGAAAAGGTCAGCTCCCAGACAAATCCACTAAGTGACGCAATATGGGAAAAAGGTGAACAGCCCTTGGTGGGGAAAGAAGAGGTTAGGAACTATTTAGAATAGCTGAACCAACACAAATCCATGGGTCCAGATTTAATGCATCCGAAGACGTGGATTTGTGTATCAGAGTACTGAGGGAGTTGGCAAATGTCATTGCAGAGTCTTTGGCTATTATCTTTGAAAACTCATGGAAATCGGGAGAAATCCCAGATGATTGGAAAAAGACAAATGTAGTGTTCATCTTTAAAAAAGAGAAGAAGCATGATCCAGTCTTACTTCAATCCCTGGAAAAATCAAGGAGATCCTCAAGGAATCCATTTTGAAGCACTTGGAAGAGAGGAAATTGATCAGGAATAGTCAGCATGGATTCAAGAAGGGCAAGGAATGCCTGGCCAATCGGATTAGCTTCTATGATGAGGTAATTGGCTCTGTGGATATGGGAAAGTCAGTGGACGTGATATACCTTGACTTTAGCAAAGCTTTTGATACTGCCTCCCACAATATTCTTGCCAGGAAGTTATGGGAGTATGGATTGGATAAATAGACGGTAAGATGGATAGAAAGCTGGCTAGACGGTCAGGCCCAGTGTTTAGTGATCAATGGATTGATGTCAGGTTGGTGGTTGGTTTCTAGCAGAGTGGCAAAAGGATCAGTTCTATGACTGGTTTTATTCAAGATCTTTATTAATGACCTGGATGAGGGGATGGATTGCACCCTTAGCGAGTTTGCAGATGACACTAAGCTAAGGAGAGAGGTAGATATGCTGGATGGAAGGGATAGGGTCCAGAGTGAGCAATACAAATTAGAGGATTGGGCCAAAAGAAATCTGATGAGGTTCAACAAGGACAAGTATAGAGTCCTGCCCTTGGGACAGAAGAATCCCAAGCACTATTACAGGTTGGGGACCGAATGGCTAAGTAGCAGTTCTGCAGAAAAAGACCTGGGGATTACAGTGGAGGAGAAGTTGGATATGAGTCAACAGTGTGCCCTTGTAGCCAAGAAGGCTAATGGCATATTAGGGTGCATTAGGAGGAACATTGCCAGCAGATCTAGGGAAGTGATTATTCCCTTTATTCAGCTCTAGTGAGGCCACATCTGGAGTATTGTGTCCAGTTCTGGACCCCCAATTGCAGGAAGGATGTGGATGCATTGGAGAAGGTCCAGCTGAGGGCAGCCAAAATGATTAGGGGGCTGGAGCATATGACCTATGAGGAGAGGCTGAGGGATTTAGGTTTGTTTAGTCTGCAGAAGAGATGAGTTGGGGGATTTGATAGCAGCCTTCAACTTCCTGAAGGGAGGTTCCAAAGAGGCTCTAAAACTATGATTCTATGAAATGTGAACTGCTTAAAAATAAAGGGATATTTATCAAGCAGACTCAACAAGGAAATTGTGTCTGTGCTTGTTTCAGTTAAATTCTGGTGGTTAAAAGTAGCATTTTTTCTCCATCCTTAGAGGTTTTTAAGTCTCGGCTTGACAAAGCCCTGTCTGGGTTGATTTAGCTGGGATTGGTCCTTCCTTTGGCAGGGCGCTGGACTTCATGAACTTCGGAGGTCTCTTCTAGCTCTATGAACACCAGATACGTCTTGTAGATTGATACATTAACAAAAATAGTGTAGATACATGAATGAATAGAACCAAAGTTAGGAAATTACCTCTATCAGAGAAACACATCCAGAGGCAGGTCCTAAGTTTACTGAAATATTGGACAGTTTAATGAAAAAAAAATATCAAAATTACAGCACAACTCCTGTGGCCTAGTTACACAGAAAAGGCAACATAAAATATCTAGGGACTTTCATGAAGGCATGAACTTCAACTCATTCCGGGTGCATCTACACTGTACCATTATTTTGAGATAACTAGTGTTATTTCCAAATAACAAAGCGAGTGTTTACACAACAATTCCGTTATTTCAAAATAACATTGAAATAATGGGCAGCTTATTCCAAAAGCTGTAAACTTCATGCCACAAGGAATAACTCCTCTTCCAAAATAGCTATTGTGAAATAGTGGTGATGTGGATGCTCCATTGTTGCTATTTCAAAATAACTCTTCCGCAGAGACATTCTAATTAGTTTCTCCCAAGTGCTTCCTGGGGCTCTAAATCGAGGCAGCGTGTCCACATTAGGGGAACCTGCCTTGGACTAATTTTGAGGCTTTCTTGTAATGTGGATGCTCTATTTTGAAATAAACTATTTTGGAATATATCTTCCAAAATAGCTTATTTCGAAATAAGTATTCAGTCTGGATGTATTCATGACTTTGTATTTTTAATTTTCGATAATGTATAATCAAACTGTCTTGGTTTAGATAGCACAGGGGACACGTAAAATGCCTTTTGTGGCACATGGTTAGAATAGAAATTTTATTATTTATATCAGTATGACTTTAATTAGCAACTGAACTACAGCATGATGTTATCCTCTGCTCTTGGATGTAGCCATCCATAATGATGCCTTTCCTAACTGTTGCTACATTGCTTCTTAGTATCTTACTTTCATTTCCTCTGAATCTGAACTCATTACCCCAAATTTTGTCATTACTATATTTTCCTATTTATAAAAGTGCAACAGAAAGTTAAATAAAATATTTGTATAAGGACAAGCCTAATTTCTTTCAGAATTATTTATTCAATTCAACTTTGGAGTCTCCTTGCCTAGGACCAGCTTTTGTTGTCTCTTTTTCCTCATTTATCTCTTGTAGTTAATCTTCAATTTCCTCTTTGCTTCCTTTGCTGTTTCAAGTGTTTCCACATGTTTACATTCCCGTCTCCCTTCCACAGTGAGTTTTAATTTTCTAAAGTACCCAGATCTCATTTTTCCTTTCTCAGAGGCTGTAAAGGGACAGGAACTCTGACAGGGAGGATTGTGAGTGGTTTCTGCTCTCCTGTGCTATTCCCGGGACTGAGGAATGGGTAATACAAACATTTCTCAGTCAGTCCTGCAGGGATAGTTACAATGGGGAACATCATCCCGGCATCATAAAATGAGATTCTTCCCTCTTCCCGATCCAAAAATACCCCAATCACTGCATAGGTTGCATCCCTCTTTTCTATCTTTTTATTTTCTGGGCTTGAAAAAAGGTCTCCCTGGGATCTCCGCAGAGACCAGCATCCCTCCCCAGGCAGTGTCGCTGCCTCCTCTCTTTTCACTGTCTCCCTCGCAGCCTGACTCAGCACCCCCAGCTCCCAGTCCCCTTTGCACCCCACCTCCACCTCCCAGTACTGTCTGCCATCCACAAACCCCTTCCTCCCCACCACAAGCAGGGCCCTGGAGGCTGCAGCCGGCTGTGGAGATGCAGCTTCACGCCAGACTCTTTTCTTATCCTCTGACAGTCTGAGCTCTGGGTGTTTGCAATCTGGATCCAGAGTGATGGCAACTGGGGAAAGAAACCGGAACAGTCCCCTGGTTAGTGAGGAGAGACTCAGAGGCACAAGCAAAAACAGAGAATAAACTAGAAGAGACAATTCCACATAAGACATAGCCAATGACAGCAGTTTATACACTCTGGGGCTACGTCTAGACTGGCATGATTTTCCGAAAATGCTTTTAACAGAAAAGTTTTTGCGGAAAAGCATCCGTGGCCAATCTAGACGCACTTTTCCACAAAAAAGCCCCGATCGCCATTTTTGCGATCGGGGCTTTTTTGCGGAAAACAGTACTGTGCTGTCTACACTGGCCCTTTTGAGCAAAAGTCTTTCGGAAAAAGACTTTTGCCCGAACGGGAGCAGCATAGTATTTCTGGAATAGCACTGACAATCTTACATGAGATCGTCAGTGCTTTTCCGGAAATTCAAGCGGCCAGTGTAGACAGCTGGCAAGTTTTTCCGCAAAAAGCAGATGATTTTGCGGAAAAACTTGCCAGTCTAGACACAGTCTGGGAGAAAAGTCCAGCCCTGGGGCAGGCAGAGGACATGGGGAGTTCTTCCTACTCTTGCCCTCCACAACAGGAGGACGGTGGCAGGGGCTCTGCCTAAAGCCCCTGATTGTCTCTTTGCTCTGAGGTGGTGATGCCAGCTGGCTTGGGCAGGGCAACGTCTGGAGGTGAGGTACAAGCTGCTCCTTCATGAGCAGCAGCGAGGGGCAATGTTCAGTTTGTTGCCTGCACATTGCTCGGATCTGCCTGCCCTGCTGTAGCTGGCTGGCTCCTGCACCAGCTACTAGGATGCTCCCAATCTGTTAGTGAGCACAAGCAAGGCTCTACCCAAGTGTGGCCTTGGAAAAACATTAAGGAAATTACTGGGGTCTCATTATGAGCAGTGCTGAGCTCTCTTGGCCAGCAAAGCACATCCAAAGAGAAACAGCTCAACTGACTGCTTCAGTGGATCAGCTCAGAGAGCTCAGCATCCTCAGGAACAAAACCCTATATGCTGTATCTCTCACACACACACACGCACACACGCATGCACGCACGCACACACTAAAGTGCATCATGGCTGGCCAGAGGGATGTCAAATGCCAGTGCAATGTTGCTCACCACAAATGCTTTAAGGATTGGGTTGATGGCTGAGCCTACCCTGCACTGAAGTTCTGCTCTGCAATTGATTTCTCTTTAAATAAGAGCCAAACCTCATCCTTGATCTGCCAGAGGTACCTTTCATCTCAGAGCTCCCATGAGGAAGGGGAGATCCAATCAGCTCAGTGAGGTATCATGGGTGCTGTGTGAAAGCAGGGCTGGGAGAGGCAAGACTGCAGCCACACCCCCAGCCCTGCACCCTCTCCCCAGGCCCTGCCTCCTTGGGAGCCAAGCTTTCTCTTTTCCCAGCACCATGGAGAAGGAGGAAGTCACATGGCCCAGAACACAGGTAGGGTGGAAAGTGGGAGATGGGCATCCCCAGCATCCCCATCCCCAGAGCACATGGAGCAAGTGGGGTATGTGGTCCCAGCCACCACAGCCCCAGAGCATGGGGCTGCCCCGAGGGTATATAATGGGTGGGGCCAAGCTGGCAGTTTGGGAAGGCAATGCTTTCATTGCCTATTATACTGGCACCCCTGAGTGAGATGGTGCTGCTGAGTCCCCCGCTCTGCCTGGAGAGCTCTGGATCATCAACACCCCAGTATTCTTACCCACAGCTTTGCCAGACAATCTTTCTCCACAGCTGGTGACAGCTCTGCTTGAACCCTGGTGCCCAGACTCACAGCCCTGCTGTTACATTCACCTTGGCTCCCTCCTGATACATCTTGTCTGTTCTTGCTGTGCAATATCTCAGCTACCTACCTCCCTTCTTTCACTGTGACTAAAATGCTTCTCCAGCCCTTGGCCATCTCACGCTTCCACATTTCCTACAACATCCTCTTTTCTCACTTCCCCAGCTTGTGCCTCATGTCCCAAATTACATTTAACCCTCAGCAGGTCAAATCAGGCTCCTCTCCTGCCCTGTGTCACACTGTCACCTCAGTCACCTTTGTGAGCCCTTCCATTGACTTCCTCTGACCCTGCACCTTGGGATCCAGGTTTTCATCTTCATCGGCAAGGCTCTGCACAGGGCACCTGCAGCTTCTCTGTTCATCTCTCACTGTTCCCTCTCGCATTTCACTAGGCTTTCACCCCACCATTCACTGTTTATCCTTCTCCCCCTCACCTTTTGGCACCTTTCTGCACACTCATGCTAGAATACATAACTATCATTTAGGTTGAATGCAGAGCATGTAGGATGTAAATAATGTTCTCTATTTATTTAGGCACCAATAATGGGGCTTATAGTAGAAAGAGAGCCTGAGACACAAGGCCTTAGTATAAATGGGCTGGTATGAGATCTAAGGCCTTAAGTAAAGTCAGGCCCGGCTGCAGCAAAGCAAGGTGAGCCCCGTTACAAAGCAGACCCCTGCTTACAGGTTCACTATCAAATTCATGAGTCAAGGACAAGGGTAGGACTGGTAAACACAAGTGTTCATGAGCAGTAAGTATCCATGTAAATACATCCCAGATTGGCAGCACCAGCCCAGACTGATACAAGGTTGTGGTGTAAACACCCTTTCCCATGGATAGGACTGCCTCCATGGATAGCTGCAGGATGGATGTGGTGGCTTGACCGGCCAGATCTGACCAATGGGCTGTATATTGCCCACCCCTGCCATATATTGCCCAGGCATTAACTTTTTTTCCCCCTCTGTAGATTTCAGAAGAGCTCAGAGCTATGCAGGTAAGCTGGAGAACATCCAGTAAAAACATGTACTTGTAAACAAACTCAGCTCCGTGAATTCTCTGCTCTCCATTAGACTACACAGACATCCCTCCTCCTGCCCCCGTGACCTCTTTATTGATCCCACTGTCATCCTGGCTTCACCTTTAGTCTATATGGGTATGTCTACACTCCCCCCCTAGTTCGAACTAGGGGGGTAGTGTAGACATACCCATATAGACTAAAGGTGAAGCCAGGATGACAGTGGGATCAATAAAGAGGTCACGGGGGCAGGAGGAGGGATGTCTGTGTAGTCTAATGGAGAGCAGAGAATTCACGGAGCTGAGTTTGTTTACAAGTACATGTTTTTACTGGATGTTCTCCAGCTTACCTGCATAGCTCTGAGCTCTTCTGAAATCTACAGAGGGGGAAAAAAAGTTAATGCCTGGGCAATATATGGCAGGGGTGGGCAATATACAGCCCATTGGTCAGATCTGGCCGGTCAAGCCACCACATCCATCCTGCAGCACAGTGGGACCCTCAGGCAAGCTCCCTGATTGCCTTGCCATGCACCCTGCTCAGAGCGGCTAGCTCATGTAGTCAAGTGTTTCTCTGAGCGCTGCAAGCTCCGGGGTGATGGTGGGGAGACTTTTCACGTTGCCCTGCCCTCAGCACAATCTCACAGTTTCTTCTAGCTGAAAACCAGCCAATGGGATCTGTATCTTTGCAGGGTAAGCAGAGGATGAAATACTCCACCTTGACTCTCATTCTCAAGAAGCAACTGGCCCTCACAGCCAGCTGCCCTGAGTGGCATGTGGGGGCTAAAGTAGATATGGAGCCTGCCTGAGAGACCTGTAGGGCTGCTGACTGGGAGCCACCTAAGTAAGTACTTCTCAGCCAGTCTGCCTCTGGCACCCCACCCTCCACCCACATCCCAATCTTCTGCTCTACCTCTGCCCCACTGCCCAAGAGCACAACCCAAATCCTCTACAACCTCTCCTACACCCATGCTCCTCTTTGCAGCACCCTCAATGTCAGAATCCACTCCTGAATCCATACAGCCTCCCAGACACTATGGTGTGTCTAGACTACATGGCTCCATTGACGTTTCACGAGGCATAAAGGATCTGCCAACAAAGGGTTCCAGAGTCAGCAGATCCCCGTCTAGATTGCCATGCTGTGCCGATAAACAGCTGATCAGCACAGTGTGTCAGCCATTTTGATGTAAATGAATTGGTGATTACTTAAATCGCTGCTTCATTTCCCTTTGCCGAGTAAACTCATCTACATGGCACCGTCGACAGAGCCATGTAGTCTAGCCACACACTCAAACTCAATCCCCTGCCCCAGCTAACAACCTTGAACCAAGCTCCTCCAGACTCCAGACCAATTCCTGCACCCCAATCCTCTATACTGAGCTCCCTTCTGCATCCAGCCTCCATCCCAGACTCCGCACCACCTCCATTAATATCACAGAAAAGTGCAGTCCTTGAGTATCTACCGAATTCGGGGGGGGGGGGCTCCCCATAAATAATTATTGCCCACCTCTGAACTATGGCATAGAAAAATAAATATTTCACTAACTATGGGTATGTCTACACTACCCTCCTAGTTCGAACTAGGAGTGTAATGTATGTATACCGCACTTGCTAATGAAGCCCGGGATTTGAATTTCCCGGGCTTCATTAGCATAAGCGGGGAGCCGCCATTTTTAAATCCCCGCTGCTTCGAACCCCGTGCAGCGCGGCTACACGGGGCTCGAACTAGGTAGTTCGGACTAGGGTGCCTATTCCGAACTACCGGTACACCTCGTTTCATGAGGAGTAACGGTAGTTCGGAATAGGAACCTAGTCCGAACTACCTAGTTCGAGCCCCGTGTAGCCGCGCTGCACGGGGGGGGAGCCGCCATTTTTAAATCCCCGCTGCTTCGAACCCCGTGCAGCGCGGCTACACGGGGCTCGAACTAGGTAGTTCGGACTAGGGTGCCTATTCCGAACTACCGGTACACCTCGTTTCATGAGGAGTAACGGTAGTTCGGAATAGGAACCTAGTCCGAACTACCTAGTTCGAGCCCCGTGTAGCCGCGCTGCACGGGGTTCGAAGCAGCGGGGATTTAAAAATGGCGGGGCCCCGCCTCTGCACTCAGAAGCCGGGAAATTCAAATCCCGGGCTTCATT